TATATATATATATAGTGCTTTGTTCTAAAGCTGTACTTTCTGTTAAAAGGTCATTACAGAAAAATATTGTTAGTGCACCCAACTATTCAGTTCAAACTTCTAATTTAGGCTTGCTACTGATTGTGGATTTCAAATTGTCCACAAGAAGACTTTATTACATTTAATTAGGTAAATTGTGGCGTTTGGGTTATTTATATAATTTGATATCAAGAATGCTCTCGTTAGCTAAGAACGCCTGAGAAGAAAATATTTTTTCTACCCGTCTCATTCTGAAATGTTCTCCTTCTTTGCCCTCAAATCATTATTCTGCTAAATGTGTTTTTTTTTTGTTTTTTTTTACTGAATATGCTTAGGCTTTCTCTCTGACCATGGAATGAAGATTTGTTGTCAACTGCTGAATAATTTAAAACACTGAAGCTACCACATAGAACAGAGCTTTAAAGGAAAACACAGTCAAAACAAGTCCAAGAAAATCCATGGAATATCCAAGTGTCCTAAGATCATTGCAATATTCTTTGTAAATATCAGTCATGATACTGAGATCGTCGCCTTTATTAAAACTCTCAAACACGCACATTACAATAGTTCTCTCTGTCTCTCTCTCTCTCTCCTGACTTTATTTACTGGTGATTTAATTCAATTTCTGCTTTCCGGAGAAAGGTGACTTTTGCTCGGCCGATGATGAACGAGGTCTGACAAAGAAAGTGACTCTGCAGACACTGCAGTTTCTGCAACCTAATGCAATTGATGAGGGAGCGCTCAAAAGTTGGGCTTCGTATTCACTCTATTTTTGGAAACAATATGAGGCTGTTGTTTTTTTCTGTTTTTTCTTTTTTTCTCAAAATCTCTGACCAGAGGTTTACTCGAATCCCACATATTGCATTACGTCTTGCTGAGATCCTGGCTGCGCCAACACTTTCTCTGTAAGCTTGTTGACCACTCACTGCTTCTGCTACCTTTTTTGGTATGGTCAGGGGTCATGTTTTAAGTCATTTCATAACTATTTAGCTTAACACACCGGGATCAAAATAAATGAAAATGAAAAAACACCAAATTTTCAGTAAATATTATACAATTACCATATTTTTCGGACTATAAGCCGCTACTTTTTTTCTCACACTTTGAACCATTATAGCCCGGTGCGGCTTTTCGGTGGATTTTTCTTCAACCACCAGAGGGCGCTTTAGCAGGAAGTGAATCATTGGAAGTCAAAATTAGAAATCAAAGAAGAAAGCGCAAGAAGCATATGCTAGCAGCATTGACGACTGAGAAATGTCTTCAAACTCATATGATGCAGTTTTTAAGTTGAAGGCTATGACCAGCAGTACATATCATAGCCGCTGCACGTAAGCTCGGCGTGAACGAATCTGCGTTGGAGACAGAGGGCTGCGTCCTTAATAGCAGATTTATTAAGGACGCAGCCTTGATAAATCTGCTGTGTCCTTGAGAGGCGGAGACATCAGCGGCTTATGTATGTACGGAGCCCGGTGAGGCTTATATGTACTTTTCCAGTTTTTTGTTTGTTTGTTTTTTAATTGTGTAGACGCGGCTTGTAGTAAGGTGTGCTCTGTAGTCTGGAAAATACGGTAATTACATTTGAGCATTCTGTTCCCCATGGATATGAAGTGGCTTGGTTACAGGAGTGAAATTGAAACGGGAAGGGATAAAATGGCAATGTGTAGCTATGAAATGCATTTATGATAAGGGGGATTGACGTGAAATCTGATGTGAGCAAAGGTTTTGACAAAAGTATTTTCAGTAGTCAGATTTTCAGAAACATGCAAACTATCTGAAGCTCCGCCATTGTGTTATCAATCTATTAAAAATTAATTCACTCTGTGTTAAAAATGTTGCTTTCTCATATTTGATTAACATAAAAGAAAGAGAAGTGGTTCAGACTGGTATGAATAATGCATCATAATGTTTTATTTTATTTCCATAGGGACTACGTTTTATTTTATGTGTTGGATAAATGCTCATATATCTGATTTAAATTAGCTGTATTGAAAACATTGTATTGTATTCTGCTCCCTTGTTACAAAGCAGAACAGTTCAGAACAGCTGAGTTTTTAAAGAAACATTATTTTAAGCAATCTTTGTGTTTTGGAATAACCATCTAAAGTTGCTTTGTGTTTTTTTTCTCCTGACTCTTCGCCAACATATTGATTTAAAAATTTGACTGTCAAATACTCAACATTCTGTATTTTAATGAGTTAGTAGTAGCCTAAATCAGAAAATAAATAGCTGGTTAATGGAAGCAGCAAAGCTAATTAAATCTTTTTCAATTAAATCAATTTGATGAAAAATATTCAATTTTTTTTTTATTTATTTATTTACTTATTTTTCCCAGAGAGCATTAAATCTCAGAGTCTTTCACGTTTGGTTTAGACTTTATCAGATTACTTCCAAAATGTTTCAGATAATTTATCCCACATGTTCAGCAATTACAGAATAAATGCTAATCTTTCCCATTTTCTTTGATGTCCGTGTGTCACAACCCGAGTACTGTTGCTCGCCGTCGTAGCAACAGAATCGGATGCGTCTTTAATTGTGCTCAGCGCCGCGCTGAGCTCAGTGAACAAAAGGAAATAGGGTCAGAACCTTGACTCACTAATGATGCAGTGAAAGGAACGGCTCTGATGTTATTATTTGTGCCTGCAGGCTTGTTTATGGAGAGAGTGTTTGTATCGAGCATCATTTACTGTAGGTTTACCTCCAGCGTGGTCATTATTAATTTGGGACAGAGAGGATGGAATGTCTCGCATCGTCGGAATAATTTTCAGATTCGTTTGTTTTGCTGGCACATCCGCTCCCAGCGTTTGTGCTGGGTTTGATAATGAGGGAGACGGTTAATTGAAAAATTGACTTTAATTTAAAGGTAAACCATGGGAAATTAACATCTGAAGATGATTTGTTTTTTTTTAAGATGCTGACTTATTTTTGTTGTGGTTTGGGAACAAAAGTTATATTAAAATATGAATAATCAAATCAAAATAATGAGTAAAAAGGTCATGTTAATTTTGGGCTTTCAGTGCTTTCAAGACATGCAACAATTTTAGTGTCTAAAACATTTTTAATGGGCAAAAACTTGAACTAGAAGTTAAAATAAAAACTTAGGAAAATGTCACTTAAGTTGCAAAACGGTCAACAACCTTTTGGTATCGTTTTAGTTAGAGTATTTGACCTCTCCGCTCCTCTTGGTATATTTGGTTGCTTAAATTTAAATTGATACAATCTTTGTCTTTTTTTTATGTTCAAATTGTTATTATGGGTATTTGTGTGTACAATTTTAGGAAAGAGTCATATTTACCAATTTGTCACAAAAAGTGAGGAAACGGTTCAGCGTTGTTGATGCTTCCTTTGTGCGCATGTATATATTTAGAACTTGTAGGACGGACTAATACTTTCTTAGACCTTTATTTCCATAATGTGCTTAAAACTCAACAAAAGACCTTCTGCTGAGATTTATTTAAAACTTTACCTCCTTATTGCGTTTCTGTTAAATTCAGAGTATAACATTCTCCTTCCCCCATATGCTGCTCTTAATGACGGCTAAGCTCCAAGGGAGATTCTTCAATCACGAGGCTCGACTTTAGTGAATCCAGCTCCCAGTTTCAATTCAGCTTTTTACTCTTCGCTTATACTTTTGTTTTTGATCAAGCTTGCTTGAGTGATCAGTGCCTTAGTGATATGCCGCTATAGGCATAAAAGCTGGAGTATACGGTGCAACGATGGTTGCCTTTTCACATTTAGGGTTTACATTGATGCATGACTCCATGTCGATCGATTACCAGATACAGTTACCAGTAACATCTGTGGTTTTCTGATTTTATGTCCTCCCTACCTGTGGCTGCTTTGAGGCAGATGGACGCTCTTGCAGAGCCTGGTTCTGGTGGAGATTTCATCCTGTTCACTTTCTCAGGACGTGGGATCAAAGTGAAAAATGAATGCTCCCTGGTGTTTTTACTTCTTTAGATAACTTTTCACAACTTGGCTTTTTATCATATCCTAAAAATTTATTTCATGGAGTTGCATTGTATCTGAACGTGGACTAAATGTATATTACTGTCAATTATACTGGATTTGAATTATACTTGTTTATTTCAAAATAAAGGGCCATTGCACACAAATAAACTAAATTGAGCTGAGTTATGAAAAATGTGTGTGCAAAGTATGACTTTCATATACCAAATAGTTGACCCTTTGTTCTGTTATTATGTGGGGGGGTTGTGTGTTTTTTTTTTTTTTATCATCATTTTGAATTGCTTTCTGTGTTATTTGTGTCATTTTTCAATTTTATTGCATCTTGTTTCAGTTCTCAGTGGCCAGGAATCTCGAGGGGTTTTGAGGAAAATCAGCGACATGCTGGAGATGATTATGAAAAGGATGGATGCCTTGTCAAAGTTGGGGAACGCCACTGACACCCACAGGCTGGATGAACTCAGCTTGGCCTTGGACAGGTGAGGTACAACACACGCTGCCGTTAGCAATAGTAGAATAGGGGTGATTTACTTTTCAACTTACAGTGAAACTGAAGATATCCAAACGTATTTAAAATGTGAAAACAAATATGTTTAAAGTCAAATCAAAAGGCAAACTTAGTTGGCCTGTTGGTAATTGGAAGACACTTTATGCTGTGAATAGATCCAGAACTAACGTCCTACCTTGTTTACAAAGTACTGCATAATTTCCAATCATATATTTGTAGCTTAATGTCGTCCTATAATATTGACCGTCTGGAAAAGCACAAGCACCATCCGACTCTTTGCTGAAGCAACTTTGATCCAGTTGGTTATAAATTACCAAGATTAAAGCAACATCCTGAGCATCATCAATACTAAAAACTGTTTCCACAATGCCAAAAGCAATAAACACAATTAATTCCTAAATGTTTGAAGCAATGGATCAGGAGGATTTTAAACTCCTACATCCGTTTGCCTTCCTGTAGCCGCAAGCTAATGCAGTTATGCAAACACTAGTATGTATACAGATGGAAACATCATGTGTAGCTGCAGTTTTCAGTTTTTTTTGTTTTTTTGTTTTTTGTTGTTTTTTTTTACTTCCTCAAATCCCTAAGAGGTTACAACTGACATTTTTTGGCTCTTTGCAGTTTCTTCTTATGTTGAAAGCTTCTGAAGAGAAGGCTGCTTTTTTTTCTCTTCACGTTAGTGATTAGTTTCCCCTCTGAAGACTTTCACCTTGTTCTTCACAGGCATGAACCTCCTGACACATTAACATAACAAGTAATGTACAAAGAGATATTACGGTAACTGATACGACAATCTCTGGTAACATTGAGTTTGGTAACTGCTACTGAGTGTGGACTGAAAAATGGCATTTCCTCACCTGACCTCAACCTCTGCTGTTTTTCTTTTTTTTTTTTTTTCTTTTTTAAAGTACTTCTCTCCCCACAATGATTTTTACACCCACTGTATAATTTTCTTTGCAGTTTGCCCTGCAGATATCCTCTCAGCCACATACATCTTACAGTTTAATTGGCCTCTCAGGGACTAAACTGGAAATGTTACAGTGACAAAGGCCAAATACCTTTGGTGGGGAAAATAAATCATTGTTTATGGCACAGAGTCGGGTTGATCCGTTAGATTAGAGATGGGAAAACTTTGCTCACTTTAAAGAAAAAAAAAAAAAACGAATTAAGATTCTTCTCTGCTCTTCCAAAAGCTGCCCTGTTGAACAGACGTAATCTCCAGTGGAAGACTGCATGGCTGTACAGTTCCACAGTTTATAGCTGGTCATTAACTTGTGCTGACCTGTTGCAATATCAAGTTAGTTGAATGTAAAAAGAGAAGTTTAGTTTCGGCTTGATGTCCAGACTGTGTGTGCGTAACACTTGCGCTTTGGGATTGTGCAGTTATGCATTAAATAGCAGCTAGATTCCTATTCATTATTATACGTAAACACAAATGTGCAATGATGATAACACTTCAGCCTAAATGGAAACAGACCTTTATTGCATCTGCGTATGAAGCGTAGCTTCTTTTGTTCTCCTGGGTTTGTGTGGTCAAAGCTGTTTAATGAGGAATCTACACCAGATCACCTTCATGCACAGGCACTCATAATTTTTTTATTTTTTCATAAAAAATGTAAAATGTTAACAGTGCCCCAAAAGTACAGTTTTCTTCACCAGTGAATATTAGCCTGTTTCAGCACAAGAAGTGGCCGTCATTAACATCCTGTGTTGATGAGCGGAGGTTTGAAATTAAAAATTATTTTTTTTGTTTTACATACAGTTGCGTTACGTTACACTAGGGGTGTGGAAGCCCTGAAAAAAACACTTTTTTTTTTTTTTTTAAAGACCCACTTTTAAAATCTGACCAAAGTTTGTTTTTCTCTTGACTTTAAGTCATTTTCAAGTTTATTTAAAAAAAAGAATAAAAAAATTGAAAAATAATGTATTAGATTTTTTTTCCCCTCTTGAGATATTATATTTTTTCCTAAATTTGAGAATACAAAATGAGTGAGTAAAACTTGACTAGTCGGTTTTCTGTGGAGTATTTTTGACTATAAGAAATTTATTTATTTATTTATTTCATTTCTACAGGAGGGGAACTCAATGTGTTGTTAATTTTCATGATTCAGCAGCAACAGAATACAATGAAACAGTTTATTTCCACACACAATTTATGGGTAAATTATTCCATTAGTCTGAGTTTGCACATAGCTGACCAGCTGAATTCCTGCTCCTCCCAGCTTAGCTTTTATAAAGGCTGCTGCCTCATACTCGCTCCTTCCTCCCTGACTTTAATGTTGCTCCAAAGCAGTGAGTTTTCTAAGATGATCTAGATCTGTATCTTGACTTCAAGACTTCTAATGGTTTCCCAACATTTCCAAAATACAACATGTTTACATAAAAAAAGGCTGTTGGCATAAAAGCATAAAAAAGATTTACATTTAGTTTCCCTAAACCCTTGTTTCCCGTTATCTGCTAAAAATCCATCTTGCTCCTACTCACTGACTTACAGCCTGAATAAAATGCTCATATTTCTATTTTTAAATAGCTAAAAAAAATAAATACCAATTTGGTGTTCATTAATGGTTTAAAAAAAAAATCAGGCCTAATCAACCCTTAGTTTTTTCTGCCTTTAAAGATGTTACAGATTATGATTTGAGGTTGGAGTATAAGGCAGCAGTATGAGTCACATTTCAAACCCAAACCTATTCTGTTTGTGCTCTCAGCTTAATTAATAACTTCCTGATTACCATGCCAGCAGATTTCAGGCTATAGTGGTCAGGTCAAATTAATTAATATTCGCCTGCAACATATTGTCTTCGGACACATTCCCTCCAACGAACCTCATTAAAAATTCCGATTTACCCGACTATCTAAATTAACAAATGATCCGCATTTCAAGCGTCAAGTTCTTCATAGCAAGCATTTCCTCGTTTGTTTTGCCCCTTCAGAGCCAAAACACCTGGACACGGATGGACCCCGTAGGCTTTTACTTCAAGAGCGGACAGTAAAGACTGTGTGTGTGATTTTTAATTCCTCGTGTGCTTTTGTGTGTCCATGTGTGACCTCGTCGATCAGGATTCAGCCGATGGGGCTGGTGGAGCGGATCCAGGCCATAGCCCAGAACATGTCCGACATGGCGCTGCGGGTGGAGCAGATCCTGCAGCGCAGCGTGGCCAACAGCCGAGGTACAGCTTTGAAAACACGCATGGGTGCACATGCTAGAGGACGCAGAGAGAATATCAAACGCAGCTACAACCCGTCTGATAAACACACCTGTCAGTCGGCGGCACATCCACTGTGAATCTGGGCCTGTGCTTTAAGGCCAAGCGATCTCAACCTGAGCGCCTCAATGCATGCTGGTTGATTATACCATCTATGACGGTCATTATTTACTGAGCATCCTCTGTTCGGGCAGCAGTGTTGCTGCCATGTCGCACAGTAAACTGCCTTCTGCAGCACCTTCAGATCCCAAAGACGAACAGCCGTCTTGTTAATCAGGTCCGGGTTATGTCAGTTTTATTAATAGCTCTCATTCCCAGCTACTTTATAGTGCATAAAATAGAAATCAGGCGGCGTGATTGAATTCATGATTTAATCCCCCCCCCCCCACTTTGTATCCTCACCCTGCACTTGACTGAACACAATTTAACACACAGAGTCATTAAAATGTGTCAGATCATTTCTCTCTCTCTGTGTCTGATGCCATTAAAACAAAACAGGCGGTGAACCTGGCTGCGTTTTTTTTTTTTTTTACAAAGAAACGAGGTGGCGCTTTTTGCGACGAGACATCTGTCGTTATCGTGCTAATCAGATGGACCGACTGGCAAGTATTTGTCTGTGATTGTGTCGTCTTAAGGCTTCCTAAGAAGCCGGCGGGCGGAGGAGCCGCAACCGCTCCTTAATTAGACGTACTCGCGCTGCGCTTCATGACGAGAAAAAATTGGGGAGAGGAGGCGAGAGGTTAACGCAGAGAGAGGAGGGAAGAATAGGTTTAGTCATCGACAGAAGTAGGGAAAGAGGATGTGAAGAGCTGAATAAGGAGGCAGGAAAGAAGAGAGGAGGGTTTTTTTTCAGTGAGTCTCTCTAATGTGAATTATGTACAGAAAATGATGTGGATTTGGACATCCTTGGTCAATCTGGAAGGGAGCTTGTTATCTGGACTTTTTCTCCAAATTACCTCTGCTTTTCCTCATGGCTGATGATGCATTATTGATACCAAAAGCAGGAAGTTGTCGCCTGAATTTACCTTCAATTCTTGCAGTGATTAATAATAAACTGGCAAGTTTCTTCCTTTTTTCTTCTTCTTCTTTTTTTTTTTTACCTCCTAAAGGTAAAGGATTCTTGGAAATAATCTTATTCCAGATGAGGAGTTTTAAAAGAGTATGTAATATTCAGAATCTTTCAATATTAATGCAAAATTCTCACAAAAGTATGTCTTTTGTGGATTTATTTTTACTTTTGTTTAAACTTGTATTCTATTTTGAAAAGTGTGCAGTGATCTTGTGTTTCCACTGGTGGACAGCAATCTGCAAGTTTACCCACAGGTTCTAAATTGGATTTAGGTCTGAGCTTTGACTAGGCCAATCCAATGTGTTTACATGTTTTCCCTTAAAACACCGGGGTGTTGCTTTAGCAGCAAGTTCTGGGTCATTGTCCTGTTAGAAAGTGATCCTCCCAGTCTCAGATGACTGACAGACTAAAACGGGTTTTTCTCAAAAATATCTGTGAATTTGGCACCATCCATCCTCCCCTCAATTCAAACCAGTGTCCCAGTCCCTGCTGGTGCTTTTAGGTTGATGAGGGGTGTTGATTTTGTGGCAGAAAGAGTAGTTTTCTTATTGGCTGAAGAGTTCGATTTTGGTCTCATTTGACCAAAAGCACCTTCAGGGTTACCTTTTCTTCTCTGTGCTGTCTCTCTGATTAATGCCCTCCTCACCCGATGTGAAAGTTTTGGTGGGCGGGGCTCTGTTGGCAGATTTGTTGTGGTACAATGTTCTTTCCATTTGATGGTAACGGGATTTAGTGGCGCTCTGGGGGATCGTTAGGGATACCGACACCCCACACCAAAAACCTGCAGCTGTAGTTGCAGAGGAAAGTCGTTCAATAAATGATCGGCTCTGGAGGCTGAATACAAATGCAAGCCCCACTTTTAACATTTATATTTGTAGAAACTTTTTTTTTTCGGAACACGGCGCAAATAAGCAACAATTCAGTTCAAAGTGTTTTCCTTCTCGCAAATACACACTAAATGTTGGTCTGTCCCTTAACATACATTGACCTTTGTGAATAAAATTTGAAAAATTAAAAGTTTCATTAGATTTCAATGCTTTTGCAAGCCACTGAAAACCAATATAACTCTATATATCAGTTAACTTATGTGTGTTGTGAATCTTAATACAGACTTCGTATGTACCCTTGACCTTTATTCTGCTATATCACTGTTCAGATACAGAGTCTAAAAGCTGAACGCGATTTATCCCATGTCAATCAATCTTTTTCTGTAACTTTATTGTTTAAATGAAGCCGAAGAAGCTGCACACTAGCTTGTACTCTCACCAATCTTTCACAAAGGCTCCACTAACGTTCGTTCTTTCATTCACTTTTTTATATCTGATCACTTTATGTACTGAAACTGCATAGTTTTTTTATTTAGATTTTTTTTTTAAAGTGTGAACAAAAGTCTTTATATCGGCTTAAAAAAATGTGCATTATGTGAAATTACAGCATTAACTAGCATGAATAAAAGAGATATCCTCAAATAAGATCAACCAGACAGGAATTAATTTGAACTAAAAGCTCAAGTAGCCAGCAGGGAGTTGACTAAAAGACTCTCAGGCCACTTAAAGTAAAATGTTGTGATGACAAAAAAAAAAAAAGTTTAAACTTTGGGACAACAATCCCAAACCAGTGAGTGAGTATTGCCTCAAAAACAGGTTCCTAGCATTCTGATGTTGTAATGGCATACTTAAACTGTGTTTTACTGCTCCAGTGGCCTGCAGGCTTGTTGGCTTGGTGGGGAATATGAATGCATAAGGAACAGTCTAAGTTGAGCCAGAAAAAGAAATGAAGAAAAATTACAAAAGTGTACGTAGATCCTAAAAAAAATCTACAAATCAGAAAATGAAATATAAAAAATCCCAGGTTTGAGTAAAGATTTGCTTTTGTGTTGTAAGATAATATTCTCTGTATTGATGAGAGAAGAAAAATCAAAGTGGAAATTCATTTTACTGTGATGCTAAAGCATAAAATCTGGAAACTTTTATTGCTCTGCATTTGCCGTCATCGTAAAACGCTGAACAAGAGAGACAAAAATCCATCTTGGTTAATTAGCGTTATTTCGAGTCGAGCAGAAGCTCCTAGAATGAGCCCTGCTTGCTGCCAGGAAAGTGACAGCAGAAAATGCTTCCAAAGAAGAAGACTTTTTTTTTTTTTTATCGTTACATTTTCTCATCAACACAGTTGTCAAAACAACATTTCCATTTCGTGGTCACCGTCCTGTCTCGACATGACCTGAAATGCCACTCATCATAAAACCTGTGGCGAAGAAGCGTCATCTAAATCTTAGATTTTGCACCAACATTTGAAAATGTCACTTTCAGATAAATCAGTTGCAGTGGAAAAGATTCTGATAGACTTCACCAACAACTAAGTTAAGGTTGACAATATTCATGACATGCTAGCATAGCAAAGACTTTATCTTATAGACTTGGGTGACCCTGATTCAACTCTTAAGATTTCATGCTGCAAATTCATGCAAAACGTACATATATAGTTTATTTAGGCAAAATTCAGCATTAATTTATTTTTTTTCTGGCTGACATCATAGCTGCTGTCAGTGACAATCGTCAGAGATTACCGATCTTCCTTGAGTTTCGTACTTGAGGTTTTATGATTAAAATAAGTTCTCACTATGCTCAGGATAAGAGCTTCAATATAATAACACTGAATGAAGCTGTGGATATAACACTGATCTGCATTGAAATGACAGTAAATTGAATCACAACAGACTTTTATTTTATTAGACTTAAGTGAAAAATGCCCCGAAGTAAATACAGTAGGGATTTGAAAATATGCAATTTTATTGAATTGCAATAATTTGAATTAATTTGTGGTCATTTGATGTAAAATATACATCGAGTAAAATCAGCACGCTCTGTGACAATATAAGCAAGAACCTGAAGCAATTTCAAGCTCCTTGTCCTCAGTTGTGATGAAATTGGAAAGACGCATGGACAAATACCTTCTGGATAGAAGTTTGTTTTATGGTCAGAGGAGATAAAGATGGAGCTATTTGACCAGAATCACAAAGTATCTTTGGAGGACATTTATCTCAACCCCACATTAGAAATGATAAAGCAGGTAAAATGAAACGTTTTGAAATGCCCATGAAGTTAACCCTTTTAAAAATGAATGAACTATGCATAAAAGTCGGGTTTCCCTAATTCTCATTTTTAAAAATCATTAAAGCAGTGAAGCATGGGAAATCCTTAAGTCTGCGTGTTTATCTTTACAGGTAAAGATGGAGTCTTTGGCTCCTGTGAAACTCCCAAGGATCCCCATTACCCAGACTGCACCAGCAAGATGGATGTAAGCCTTCATGTTTTACTCACCTGCAGCATTTCACACAACGAGCACTCGTCCCACACCGACTCACCTTGCTGCAACATAAATTCTTAAAAATGGTCGAATGCTTAACGATACTGCAAAACTGACATGTCTGACAAGTCTGTTTGACAGCAAGAAAAGGAAGGAAAATAAAGCTTCATGGACAGACACATTGTTAACTTATCATTCAATGTCCTCTGTGTTTATTAGCAGCTGATAAAGATGCATAAAAAGACAATTACATCTTTTATTGTAGTAACAGTCACACTGAAAAACATTGTTTTTTTTTTCAGGTTGTTTGTAAGAGTTCTACTTTTTTTTTTTTTCTTTTAAGTTTTATTTGTTGCTCTGTCTTTAAATGCATCCAGGTTTAGGTTAGCAGCTACTTTATTGTAGTAATTTTCTGCCTTACTCAAAGGGCTGTCGTCTTGTCTTCCTCATTTTGAAGAGTGACCAGGAGACTGCTGTGTTATTCTGCACTGCACGTATTTCAGATGATGAAATGGAAACACTGCAGAAGAGGAACAATGTCAGGAGCAAACATGCTCAGCTATAGGATACCTTCATAAATATTTCTTTTAGACGTACCTGTCTGAAAGCATGTGACAACTTTCCCAATGTGAGATGGATAAGATGTTGAATTATTATAAAAGTTAACATTTACTATACAGGTTCATCGTAGTAAATCAAGAGTTTTATTGAAAAGTTGAATTATTTCAGTAAGTCAATTACTAAAAAGGAGACATGGCATATAAAGATAGTTCAGAAATATGTCTGTTAATTTAAATGATGATGACTTCCAGCTAATAAAACACCCAAATCATTTTTCTTAGAATATTTTACATTAGAGCTGTAAAAATAAAAAATTGCACACAGAAATGTGGGGCTACTGAAAGGTACCTCTGTGTACTGGAGAGTGTGTGCAATCAATTCTTGCTTGGCACCTATTTTGCATAAATTACTGCATCAGTGCAGTGTGGGATGGAGACCCTCAGCCTCTGGCACTGCTGAGTTGTTGAGTTGGCCTACGATGCTTTAGCAGCGAACCTTTGATCATCTGCGTTGTTTTCTCTGATGTCTCGCAGCTTTTTCTCGACAATCACGCATAGATTCTCTATGAAGTTTAGCTCTGGCTAAGGTTTTCCTGGGCAATTAAGTGCAGCGGTGGTCATGCCTGGTAGAGTGTTGTACTTTTTCTGGACTTGATAAAGCACATTAAGTCGACACCAGTGGATAATGCGACTGTGGCTCTTTGGATAGAGTAGTCGTCTTGCGATCGGAAGGTTGTAGGTTCAATTCCTCCTGCTTCGATTTTACATCCTTGAGACAAATAACTATCGTCCCTTTCCAGTGGATGCGTGCTCGTTGGACCTCGGACCCCTGCTATGCGTTTTATGGCGTCGACGGCTCCGACTGCTCCTTCCTCATCTACTTAAGCGAGGTGGAGTGGTTCTGTCCCCCGCTGCCCTGGAGGAACCAAACTGCGACACCTACTCTGAAGCCTCTTCCCAAAAGACAGGTACCAAAAAAAAGAATAAACTTCTAGATCATTAGTTTTATTTCCGCAATAAGACAGCTGGCTGAACGGGAGAAACAAGCAGACCGACGGGCCTCATTTAAATTGGAAGCATTCGCCTGCTAATGCAAACACATTTGTTCAGTCCCTGGAAAGAACAAATTAACAGTTGCTACCTCTTTACATGAAATCTGGCTCCACAGATGAGCTAAAGAACATTAGCAGTTTGTTTCCGAGCAAATTAGAAGGAGATCTGTGGAAAAGGAATTATAAGAGTATATAATTATAAGAAAAAAAACAATCTGTTGGTGGATAGGAAACTATAGGCAGATGTCTCTGCCGAGGTAACACACGTTACTTTGTATTCACCGAATGCTAAGTGCATTTTTGAAAACTTGAAAATATTCACAATATGCCACAAGATGATTTGTTT